GTTCTCTCTTTCCTCCCCAGAGGTTGGGCTGGCCCCGAATTCCACCCCCTTAATGACATGGTGGATGTTTCTGGGGCCACTCCCATCTTGAAGCCATTGAGGAAGCACCGGAAGTCACTTCATTGTACAACCAGGGTGTCGTAAGCCTTCGTGAAATTGCAGGAGTTTTAGAAGCTCCTGCTTGCTTCAGAACCAGGAGCAAAGAGCAGATATTGTCTTTGCCATGTCCCCTCAAGTTTTCTGGGAGTTAGGCTGTAGTCAATACAGCAAGATAAACGGCACATGTACGTTGGAAGATTTAATGATTTATGGCACCTGTGACCATTGGGCACTTTGGAATCACAAGTTTGTGGCTGAGGACCACCTGTGATTGTTACTTCCCCACCACCGGCCCCACCCGGCCCCACAATGTTTCCTTGGCTTCTTGAAGTCCTGCAGAAGTTCAGGCAGCTGTCTCAAAACTAGAGGACAGAGCCCCACCCCCACGGGCAGATGGGCGTGAGAAAGGCAAACACCACGGTCTTCACAGACCCAGCAGACAGTGGGAGGCGCAGCGTGCTTCTGAGCGCTGCAGCTGTCCTGACACAGGGTATCTCAACGTCACATCAAGGATGCCCGTCATCTCACAGCTCTTAGACCAGAGCTGCTGCTGCAGTTGCTGGTCATAGGTGATGGGGAGGGACCTGATCTCTGTCTCGTTGTATAGGTAACGGCCTCCAACTCCTTCCAGCTCTGGGGTGACTGCTGCGTAGACAGAGGTCTGCGCTCCTTCATCGGGGGTCTGTGGGAAGAAGAGTAACATGAGTCAAATTTCAAATGCCCATCGACGACAGACTGGATGGGGAAAACGTGGCACATAGACACCACGGAATACTATGCAGCCATAAAAAAGGACGAGTTCATGTCCTTTGTATGGACATGGATGAACCTGGAAACCATCATTCTCAGCAAACTGACACAAGAACAGAAAACCAAACACCACATGTTCTCACTCATAAGCGGGTGCTGAACAATGAGAACACATGAACACAGGGAGGGGAACATCACACATGGGGGTCTCTTGGGGGGGTATGGGAGAGACAGCATGGGGTGGGGAGGTTGGGGACAGATAACATGGGGAGAAATGCCAGATATAGGTGATGGGGGGATGGAGGCAGCAAACCACCTTGCTATGTGTATACCTATGCAACAATCCTGCATAATCTGCACATGTACCCCAGAACCTAAAAGAAGAAAAGAAAAAAAAGAAAAACAATTTTTTTGAGCAGGAAGCAGGATTCTCAGGACTCCCGGGATGCTTCAGGGAGAGGTGGAATATACTCATGAGCTGCACGGAGAAACGTGCAGAGAAAGTGAGGCTGGGTAATGTCTCTGAGCCCCAGCTTCTCTGCTGCTGGGTTTCTTTGGAACGGGCACTGGGAATAACACTCCCCAGTGCTGTGCATTTCAATGATGGGTGAATCCGTCTCACGAGGCACACGCATGTGCAAACCCCTGATGTTCGTCTTTAACTCACTCGCGCTTTATCGGACCGAAGTGCTTATTAATTGACTAGAAGCAGATGAGTGAGCACGTTGCCTCTACATCTAATAAAAAATATTTAGCAATTAGATGAAACTTCCTGACATCAAAAAAGATTCTTGTTTTCCATTCAGCAAGGTATGCCACAACGGAGAACTGAGGCGTTTGTGGTCTGTGATCATACGCTTCATGGAAAACAGACAGTTCAAAAAGGAACTTGAGAGGCAGAACATGTTGCAAAGACTGGGGATTTTACCCTCAGGGCAGGCGATAATCTTGGAACACACCACAGCCCGGTTTTCTGCAGTGGGAGTTGGCCTTTGATCGTGGTTAGTGGGATGGAAGAAATGGGGGACTCTCGGAGGAGTTAGAAGTGCTGGAATCTGAGAGCTTTCACAGTTACAATACAGCAGTCCAGAAACCAACACAGCCCCCTCTTAACATCTTACTGTCATGATGAAGATGTTTCAGGAGCCTATCTCTTTTAATCAGTTTCTGGGAATCTCGTCAACGTATCCATCATGGGAGAACAGAGACAGAAGTCACCATCTGTGAACCAGGAGGCACGTCCCTGCCAGACACGGAATCTGCCATGCCTTGAACTCCCAGCCTGCAGAAATGTGAACCATCAATGT